GGGTAATGCTGAGGGAAAATTTTCTGATGACGCATGCATGCTGCGTGCACACACCTAATTGGAATGGACATGAGCAACGCATCTCGAAGAATCACAGTTACATGGTAAGTAACCGTTCTTTTCCAGCACGGCAGGCAAATGTAGAAATACAAAGAAACATTGCTACACAAAACTACCTATTTTCATAATAGGCTTATAAGGTATTCTTCTTTCTTCCCCACACAAGCATCCTTCTGTCCTTCCTTGTTTGGTTTAGGTTTAGTATCTCTTAAAAATAAATCGTTGTTTTAGTTATTCACATCAAGTGAATTCACCATGACCTGATAACAACATGGCACTGCATACTGCACTAATGCAGCAAGCTCATTGACTGACCAACTACATCAATGTGTCATGATACACTAATGCTTTTAGATATGCTGTTCTTCAGCTGTAGGCAACAAAAACATCAAGAGCTAACATTGTTAATCTGCTCTGCTATATCTCGTAAATCCTGTGATTGGGTTTACGCTGGCTTCCCTTTGAAATGTGGGGGTCTCTGACATTGTGTTAAAGTCTTATTTTCTGGGAGAAACATTCCTTCAGGGCTAGAGCTTAGCATATAAGGTCTTATTTTGTGAGGGAAATTTGTTATAAAATGAGGCAAAATATATATACAAACATATTACTGAGTTTCAGGAGCAGAAGCAAAACAGGTAGATTTTACAATTAAGCATTCTTGGTGGGGCATCTGTGATTCATAAATGCATGTTATTAATAAATAAGCTTCCGTACAGATTATTAACACTAAAGCTTATTAGAGTAAAACTCCAATAGTCCGGCATCCGATAGTCCGGCACTCCTGATAGTCCAGCTTCAAAATGGCAAGAGCCTAGTGAGTGAGCTTCGGCAAAAAATGAGTCACAAGGTAACAGCGGCAGCAGCTGAACTGAGCAAAAAGGGTAAAAAAGGCTTAAAAAACTAAAACATTACAGTATACTGTATACAGTATATACAATAAAATGGGTTTAGAACACTTTATATACAGTATATAATGTATTCTGTGTGTGTGTGTGTGTATAGATATAGATATAGATATAGATATAGATATAGATATAGATATAGATATATAAAAAAATAAATAAAATAACCAATTTAGTCCGGCATATCTGATAATCCGGCACCCCCTAGGTCCCATAGGTTCCAGATTATCGGACGTCTACTGTAGTTGTTTTGGTGGGAGAGCTGAGTTTGTGGGAAGTTCTTGCACATATATCTTCAGTAGGAGTTTGCATGCATACAGCTTGCAGGATCTCAGACCCTGCTTTGCCTATCCATATTTATCATGCCATTAATATGTTGATGGATTTGTTTTTAACATGAATTCCTGTTAGCCAGAAGTAATTTCACATTTACTCTGCTTAAAATCTATTCCTACACAAAGAGAATTTTAGAACACTTTTGTTAGTCTCCATATGCAAGGTTGAAAATACTGCATAAAGACAAGGGTCCACGATATTGCTACTGTAACTTAAACAAGGAACAAATTCTGCATTTTGATTTTGAGATAACATGATGATGCTATTCTGTTCTATATCAGCTTTTATATTATGCTTATCACTGATGAAGACAAACGGAATATGTTAAGCAGTGGTCACCAACCAGTAGATCCCGATCTACTGGTAGATCTTGGAACCTTTGACAGGTGATCCTGAGAGGTTTGGCCAGAGGCTATCAAGTGCTGGCACTTGATCTGCCCCTCTCAGCCCTGCCGTGCTGCTCCTGCCCTCTGCTTTGGAGGTGCCCTATACCCCTGGAACCCTCCTGCTTGCTGTGCAGAGCATGGGAAGAAGAGGAAAGGGGTGCTGATGTCAGGTTGCCCCTCCCTCCCCCCTGTACCTCATCTCCACAGAGCAGAGGGGGGCAGGGATGGAGAGCGCTGGCTGCTTTGGGAGTGGTGCAGCGCCAGGGTAGGGGTGAGCCTGCCTTAGTCCCCTACACCACAACCCAGAAGCCACCTGTGGTAAGCGGTGCCCAGCTGGAGCCTGCATTCTGAACCCCAGTCCCAAACCTTCCTACACCCCAAACCCCTGGCCTAGTCCTGAGTCCCCCCTTCACCCAAACCCCCTTCCAGAGCCTGTACTCTGAATCTCTTCCTGCACCGAGCCAGCTCCAAGCCCCTGCCCTATCCCTGAGCCCCCCCCCCCGACCCAAACTCCCTTACAGAGCTTGCACCCCCTCCTGAACCCCAAGTCCCTGGCTCAGCTCAGAGCCCCCTCACACTTCAGATCCCTTAGCCCAAGACCAGAACCTGTGTCCCAACCCTCTGCCCCTGCCTGGTGAAAGGGAAGGAGAATGGGAGAACGGAGTGAGCAGAGGCAGGGCCTCGGAGAAGGGGCATGAATGAGGCGGGGCCAGGATATTTGGGTTTGAGGTAGATCCTGGATTGCACTTAAATTCAAAAAGTGATCTTTTGCTTAAAAAGGTTGGAACCCCCTGTAATAAGGACTTGGGATAGGAAGTGATGGAGAGGAGGGGAACAGAGAGGGTGAGGCCTCAAGGAAGGTATGGGGTCTTAGGGAAGAGATGGGGTAGATCTTGGCTTGTCCTGACATTTAAAAAGTGATCTTGGTTGTAAAAAGGTTGGAGACCACTGTTTTAAAGAGTCCGTTGTGCCAGTGGAGCATAGTTGTTGGCCGTGGTTTTCTCGTGGGGCTTTAGAGGGTCATTGAAATAGGCCATGGATCCATCCTGAAGATAAGGACAGAGACCTTGAGCTTGATATGAAATTCTATGTGTTTCGCCTGTGTAACTGAATGAGAGCATCACTGGCACATTGTAGGACGTACTTGTTTTGATTTTAAGGTTGCTTTTATTTTTCCCTAGACTATGGGGAACGGTCAAAAGAAGATATGCAAATTCTGTGGGAATTTGTGTATCTTCTTCTGATCGTGCTTTCAGCAAATTCTGTGGGAATTTGCGTATCTTCTTCTGATCGTGCTTTCGAAACTAAAAGTAGTTAAGATACGGCTTTTTTTCAACGAAACCCTCCCCTTCCTCCCCCTCTTGTGAAAGTAGTTAAGATACGGCTTTTTTTCAGCGAAACCCTCCCCTCCCTCCCCATCTTGTGTAAACCTCCTTTTTTGAGGAAGAGCAGCTTTTCAATGGGGGGGGTAACCTCCTTTTTTTGAGGAAGAGCAGCTTTTCAAGGGGAGGGGCACTGAAAAAGCCGCATCTTAACTACTTTCACTACTTTAATTCCCGCAGAATTTGCATATCTTCTTTCGACCGTTCTGCATAGTCTAGATACGCCCTATATGTTAATTAGGCCTTTTTTAAAATAGCTGCCTAAACTGCAGACATAACCGTTCTACATTGTAACATAAGAATGGCCATACTGGGTCAGACCAAAAATCCACGTAGCCCAGCATCCTGTCTTCCAACAGTGGCCAATGCTTCATGCCCCAGAGGGAGTGAAGGAAACAGGGAATTATCAAAGGAGTTCCTCTCCTGTCCTACATTTCCAGCCTCTGACAGAGGCTAGGAACACCATTCCTACCCATCCTGGCTAATAACCATTGATGGACCTAACCTCCATAAATTTATCTAGTTCTTTTTTTGCATACTGTTGTCTGGGTTTTGCACATGTGTGAATGCAGTTTAAGTGATCAGGTTTGGCAATTTGTGTGGTATTAATCAAAGTGTTAGATGAGAATTTGGTTGTGAAATTAAAGTTTTATTTCATAGTTTCCTTGCATCTCACTCTTTCATAATCAGCTGTTATCCTTCGTTTTAAACTCCGGTTTTCAAAGTGAACTAAGGGACTTAGGTGCTGAACTCCCATTGAATTTCAGTGAGACTTGACTGCCTACCTCCCTTATGCTCCTTTGAAAACATCAGCCTTATGTTTTATATTTGATTGCAAAGTCTAACTTTTATGAGGTCTTACCAGTAGCAATACCATAGGAATAACACCTCATGAATGGATACCGTCCTTTTAAATGTTTGTATCCCCTGTGAAAGTAATGCGCTGTCATGAAATATAAATCTATTCTGTGCTGTATAATGCAATAACTGATTATTGCACAATGCCTTGCTAATTAGTGGCCCATAAATGAACACATCCAAGAAGCATCTGAACCCAAGCATGAGTTCAATGATATGGTGCACATCAGGAACTACTGCTGATGTTTATCACTGAATGTGCGTTGGAGGTAATGCATTTGTGAAGTTAGTTCACAAAGCAATAGGGATCATTTTTTATTTTCACAGAATCAGGGTGAGTGGATGACACCCCGAAACAGAGTGTTCTTCAGTGTGTAGTGGGGGGAAGGGTCCTCTGACCCTTACCTTGTTAGAATTATGGTGATGCTTTCATCCTAAAGGATCTTGTGAATATGATCATGATGTAGAGCCTCAAAAACAAGGGCACAAATATTCCCAGTCTTCTCTTTAGCTTCATGCAAAGAAGAAACAGCTGTGAAAATGAAACTATAGCTCTGTAAAATAATCTCTCTGGGGACTTTTGTGTAAGCTTTTGGAGACTTGGCAGTAGTTTGAGCACAAATCCCCAAAGTCCTTTCTTTTAAAGGAGCATTGGATTATATCATCACTGAGTGAACTGGGCAAAGGACCAATTTGATTCTGACAAAGTTTTGCTGGGCACAAAAATCAGGAGAAGCTGCAGCGATGAAAGAATGATATTCTACCCCCCCCCCCCATCACATAGGAATGTGCTTAAACATGATATCTTTTAAAATGTGGAGAAGGTTTTTCAAACAACAATGGCCACACCAAATATGTGGATGAGAAGATTATTTGTGTGATTTTGAGTAATTTGAGATTTTAGTACAGGAGTGGCCAACCAATTAGAGACTACGAGCCAAAATAGCTATGGATAGTAGTGCAAAGAGCCACGTATTATATCTTTATTTTTATATATCTATAAGGCATGTATTGAATGGTAACTTTCTAGCTTGCGATACCCAGTGTATGTCTAATGTGTTCTTTCTGTTTCATAGATAACTGCAGTGACTTGAACTCAGAACTGCAGAGAGTGCTGACGGGGCTGGAGAGTGTAGTCTGTGGAAGGAAGAAGAGCAGTTGCAGTCTGTCTGTAGCAGAAGTGGACAGACACATTGAACAGCTCACCACTGCCAGTGAACATTGTGACCTAGCTATTAAGGTGCAACATCATTAACTAGTCACTAAATGCATTGTGTACGTACTGGGATACATGATATGTCGTATTCATAGCACTCTTCATTTGAGAGTTTCAGACTACTTCACAAAGATTTACTGTGTTTCAAAACATCGTGTGAGGCAGGTACAGTAGTAGTATACCTACACTGCATATGAGTGCATTGTCACAGAAAAATTACCTGTAGATCTTGTGTATAGTTTTTCATCCATAGATTTCAAAGCACTTTGCAAATACAGGTAAGCCTCACCTTATTTTAAAGATGCACAGACTATGGTACAGATAGGTGAACTGACTTAGAGAAGTTCACACAGTCCATTGTCAGTTGTCTAAGGTCACACTGCTAGTTGGTGGGTGTGGCTGGTAGCTGCATCTTAAAGAATCTTGTATATTGCTTTCCTGAATGTAAACATTGTAAGCCTTTTGCTTTTTATTACAACATAAAACTAGTAGTTTAATACAGACATAGCTTGTACTTTCTATTATTTCTGACAAGATAAACTAAATTTGCTTACAATTTAGCTAGTCCTTCTAAAATTAGATCTTGGTCTTATTTATTATCCATATCACAAAACAATAAATAGTGTCCAAAAGCACAAGTGATAGGTAACATGCAACAAAGAGCCTGGAAGCAAGGGAATAATAGTCTCTCTCCCGTATGTGAGGAAACAGGTGAGACAAGTTGTGTTTTATAACAGATGGAAAATCAAAGAGATAATGTATAAGCATTCAGTTTCCGGAGACAGACTACAGATCACAATATAAAACATACCAACCAGTTTCTTTACCATTTCATTTCAGAGTCCATATATCTTTTTTTCCCATTAAAAACCTTCATTGGAAGTTGTTTTGTGGGAGACATATTTCAGAACAGATAAGTCTAGGTAGATTGTGCTATTTGAATTTTCCAGAAAGAAAATGGATGTTGAGATGTTTTCCTCAATAACATCTTTTAAAGTATTTTCCCTGCTTTGTTTAGCTGAAAGACTCTGATCAGGAAAAGTTAATAAAATGTACTTTATTTAATTTTTTTAATGGACTGCCTCTGGAAAATGTTGTCTGACCTAAGAATCAATAAGAGAGCAATTACAGTTTCCTCGGACAACAGAATTGCCTGTGTCAGGAGGTTTTTTCTGAGAGATTGGGAAAATGTATTGCCATAAAGAGGATTGTGTGTTTGTTCCTACTCTGTCTGTATTTAATTGTCTACATATACCCCAGATATGCAAAACCTTTTCCCTCTGAGAATTGAAAGATTCTGAGTTTTAGACCTTACTTGATTCCCAAATTATTTTATACTCTGCTTGGCTTACAGTCCTTGTGTTAGCAGAGACCTTTTCAATTCCTGAGCCATCTTCTCAATCTTGTCTTTCATTTTATTCTTCTGCTGTCTTCTTTCTAAGCCTGCCTCCCAAACATGCTATAAAAACTCCACAGACAGAACACCTACCTCACAACAACTGCTTTTCTGCATATAAAAGCCAGGGTTGGTATTCGAAGGTAGCAGGCCCCTGTGAAGCTGTTTTTAATTGAGATTTTGGCTTCATCTCCAGGCGGGGGCGCTTTGGCTTTTTAACTTTGGCCTTAGCAAATCAAATACTGTCCCTGCATGGCAGGCCCCCTGAAACTTGTTCATGGCCCCTCTGGAGGTCCTAGAGCCCTGGTTGAGAACCATTGCTGTAGATGGCCAGTTGGTTGTTAACTGTGGAGCGTTAAGTGACCAAACTCATACTTCATTATCAAACATGTAGGAATTTGCTATTGAGGGAAGCTTGAGTTTTATTTTTTATATATTGTAAAGCTTTTTCCAGTTTTCTACCTAATCCATCTCCTGTACTCTGATCACCCTGATATTTGAGACCTCTCATCATCATCTTAGCCAGAATATAAAGAGAGGGGCTAGTTGCTTTGCGACAAAGACAAGAAAACCAGGCAATATTTTTTCATCTACTTTCCTGCTTATTTCTCCCTACCCCCGTTTGTTTTGTTGTTTGTTTGTTTGTTGTGGCAGTGGGAAAGCTAAACTGTGAAGTGAGCATTACACTTAACGCTCTGAAAGGAGTGAGGTCTGACCTTCTCTACATAAGTTCCAGAGCCTTTAGCCTGTTGCTAGGAAAACTTGATGTCGCCCTCTGAGTTTCATCCTTCAGACTGAGAGTTCCTTAGTTCCTGAGGAATGTAGCTCTCTGGGGGACTGTCATCATGGAGAGAGAGAGAGATATCTTAGGCTATTCTACATTGGTGCGATCTTGCGCCAGAGCTATGCAAGTGAGGCAAGTGTGGAATATCGCCGAGCCTCATTTGCATATCTAATGAGCCGCCATTTTTGTGGCTCTTGCGCAAGAAGGAGCTGACTATACTGCCCCTTCTTGCGCAAGGAAAAACCCTCTTGCCGTTATTCCTGAAAATAATCAGCGTAGCGGCATTGTGCAAGAGGTTTTTTCTTCTTGCACAAGAGCCTTTTCCACAAAAATGGTGGCTCATTAAATATGCAAATGAGGCTCAGCAATATTCCACGCTTAGCCTCATTTGCATAGCTCTGGCGCAAGATCGCGCCAGTGTAGACATAGCCCTAGAGTGTTCCTTGTGGGCTATGTGGTTGTGCAACCGCTCAGGAGAGATTCAAATGCCACCCAGCTGATTAACAGAGCACCCACAACTAGGTTTTATTTTTCCTGATGATGCACGTGCACACTTGCCTTAGTGCACGACAAAATTTATCGTGCACATGGATGGGAAAAAAATCAGCAGTTGAATAGAAAAGATTATAGAGGAACATTGTTTGGAGTGCCCTGAAAAATTGGGATCTAGACTTTGAATGTGATCCAGTATTTTATGGCACATTAAAATGAAGCGCTCACAGTAACTATCATTGTCCAAACAAGGCCTTGATGCATTGTAGATTTGTTGGTGTGCTTGTCCTTGGCTGTATTGAATCACTGAGAGAGCCCTCCTGCTCCTAAGATAGGGTAGGACCTAGAGCTCCTGTAGAAAGTCAACTCAGTGGGATAGCAGAGTAGGAAACAGAAGTTTCATTTTTAATACTTTGTATTTTGTTTTTGTTTAAATGTGTTCTCGTTTGTATAACCAGTGACCGGATGTTTACAACATGAGCAGCAGCAGTTTGTTCTCTTGTCAGTAAGATCTTTCCTCCACCACACTATCTGTAGGCATAATCAATTTGAGGAGACCTATACCCATCACTTGTTTACCTTAGTCTGGGATTGTTGATGTGAGAATAGTAACAGCACCAGGGGTCATGGGCTCTCTGAAAAGAACATTTCAAAGAGTTTCTTTATTATCATGCAAATGCAGGAACAACTGAAGAGTGCGTATGTTTAATGGACAAATCTTGAATCCCAGTGCTGTGTGTTAACCGTCGGCCATATTCCTGGCTGCTCAGAACTTCGATCACATGACATGCAAGACTGGAGTCTGGATTTACCCTTGATGCATCAGCATGCATTATCAAACGGAACTGTAACACTGTAAAATCAAGAATGAAGAAAAACTCAATAACTCATTAGTTCCCACAGGAAATAGTTCCCTGTATGTAGCAATTGCCTTCTATTCATGTGTTAGCCAACGAACCAGTGCTGAAGCAGAGCACGCCACATCCAGAGAAATGCAGATCGTTCAGTTAGCAAATGGATGTTTTCATGTCACTTTTTGAGAGCATAAGGGTAGAATGATAACTTGGGTTCAGTTAATTTTGTACATGGTGGTTATCAACATGCTTGTCAGAGCAGTAAGGTGATTAGGTGCATTTACCATGTTATGCAGCTTTTCCAAAAGGAAGCACTGGAAAAAGGGGCTGGTATCCTTTTACCTTTTCTGCAGGCCATTTTTTATTTTGTTTTTACCTTTGTTTATTTGTAGTGGTAATATAGTGTAAGCAGATTAGCAGTGCTGACACAGGCTATATGTTAGGTGGAAGTTTTCATTGCATGTGAAATGGCTGTTAAAAAGATTTAATTATAAATACAAAACTTCTTATTCCAAATAAGATTTGACTGCTTGAGTAGCTTTCCAGTATGTTGTCTCCATTACCAAGAGAATCTTCAACAATATCCTGTTTTTTCTTTTTACCATATCTCAGGAATTTTTATTTCTTCCTCCTTCTTCTCCCACCCCCACATTTTAAGAATGAAACTCATTCATGCAATGAGAATGTTATATGCTCCTGGAAGCATTATATTATCTTGAAGTGACATGTCTTGTTTTCTGAATCTGATTATTGGAGATCTGTAGATTTAGGTGGAAGGTTCATTCTTTATGAAGGATAGCAACTTGTTCTGTGTTGTGTATTATAAGTAATTGCTAATCAGAAAAAGAGGATAGGAACCTCTGAATGAATAGTGTATTTTTGGTACTTGCTCTAGAGCCTAACTGTGTGAATCATTATATTTATATTTACAACTGTAAACCAATTATAAACCTGATGAGGGAGAAACATGGCAGTGTTTGTTTACAGAAGGAAATTGATAGAATATGCAGGTTCTCTTTCTACTTCTCCATAGACTTGCAGCATAACTTTGAGCAAATCGCTTAACTTCTTTGTGCACAGACTTTGTGTAGGCGTTAGTGTGGCTCTGCACCATCTTGGGTGGAAGCTCTGGAAGGGATTGTGCCTGAGAGAATCCTATCTTCCCTGAGCTCTGAGGTGCACAGAAGGAACACATAGGTTGCACCATCCTAAGTCATAGTGTGCCCCATCCCACTCACTCAGTGTGCCTGGCCAAGACTCTTGCTCCTCCATCTCCCCATGCCCTTCCAGGGAACCCTATGGAAAGAACCATCCTTGGGGTCCCTCAAAGGTGGGATTGCACTTGTTCCTGTCATGCTAATATGTGAGGGTTCCTTGCATCCTTCCCAGCCCAACATGCCCATTGATAGGCCAGGCACAATCTGGCACTGGTGAGTATATCTACAGTGCAACTGGGAGGGTGCTTCCCAGCACTAGTTCTGCTTTGAGCATGCTAAAAATAGCAGTGTAACACAGATGATAAATCAGGTTAGGTTTCTGACAAGCCTGCCTGGATGCATTGGGTATGTATGCATGTGGCTAGACTGAGTTGTCACTTCTGCTTGCCTCCTCCCCCCCTCCCCCAAGCTGGCTTGAACTATCATGAGTCTGGGTACTTGTGCTGGGATGCACAATTCCTGCAGCTGTGCAAATGTACCCTCTCAGTACTCAGTTAAATCATTTGCAAAAGAGGCACAACACTTATCCATTGTGAGGCATAGTGAATGTGCTATACTTTGAGGCCTTCTGAGGAAAGGTGCTGTATAAATGCCAACTGCACACTGTTGTTAGTGTTCAGTAATTCCTCATTGAACACTATAGATGTGTTTCTGAAAATGTTTGTGCTAAGCGAAAACGTTCTATGCTGGGTCAATTTTCCCATTAAAAATAATGGAAAAGGTGGGGGTTGCGTTACAAGTGGTGGTAACAAAGTCAGTTTTTTGTTGGTGCTCTGTCGTCAACGTCAACATTAGATATCTAGCAACACAAGCTATTTAGCAACTCAAGTTACTGCGATTTTCAAAACACAAAGATAAACACATGAGTGAGCATAGGAGCACTGTGACCACGTGTATTCATCCACTCATGCATATTACCACTGTTTTCACCAACTTATACCTCCGCGTGAAGTAGTCCACCACTTGATTATTTTCGTGTTATTTTGGGAACAGTCATGTTGTTTGAAAAAGTTCCCTTAAAAAATTGTGCTATTGAGAAAATGTGTTAAGCGGGCACGTGTTAAATGAGTAATTATTGTATATCTCAGTGGGGTGATTTTCTCTTTATTTATAAAGCACCCATCTTCTGCCCATGAGCTCTTAGTGCTGAAGAGTATAAAGGTTACAAACTATTGTAGTGAAAACAGCTTTCATTGAACTTCAAATAAAAAGTAAATTGTGTGTGTGTGTGTGTGTGTGTGTGTGTGTGTGTGTGTGTGTGTGTGTGTATTCCCCTTGTATCCTTTTGTGATGGCAGTATTATTATCATTATTCCTTTTTAATATTCTCCTCTTTTGCTCCTTTCTGTCTGACCATGACTGTGTGTTTTTGCAGACAGTAGAGGAGATTGAAGGTGTGCTGGGACGGGATCTTTATCCAAACCTGTCTGAAGAGAGATCTCGGTGGGAAAAAGAGCTGGCTGGTCTGAGGGAAGAAAATGAGAGCCTCACTGCTATGCTGTGCAGCAAAGAGGAGGAGCTGAACAGGACCAAGGCCACCATGAATGCTATCCGGGAAGAAAGGGACAGATTGCGCAGAAGGGTAAGACTGCCAGTTGTCTGCAGAGTACATACAGGAGCCTTTCTAGTAACAGGGATTGTGTCTGCTCGTTCTAGACCACATAAGTTTGTAACTGTGGAGAGGTGATACCCTGCACCTTCTTTCTTGCACCTTTTTGTCTTTCTTTTCTTCTTCAGGTAATATGAGTTGTAAAGAGGTAGGAGTGAATGGAAAGAAATTGCAAGGAGTTTCTATGTGATGAGCAGTCGAGGTATACAGAAGCCTCATATCATAGAACATATGTTAACTGAAAGGATGTTATTCGTGGGTGGGAAAGTATGTGTAAGTTTATAGATAAAGCAGATGTTCATTTAGTGGATTTTCCTATGAATACCAAGTAGATCTTTGTCTCTGAGAATTCAATTTGTGATTCAGAGAAAGAAAAAGAGCAGGACTCCTGTCACTGGGAAATAATTCTTTGTGAACTGAACTTTAAGTAGTCCCAGACATGCCCAGTATCTGTCTCTCTATTTTCTAGCTTTTTTTATATCTGGCGATATGATTGCTCTTTATGAAGACTCTGAATTAAGAAAGGAAATGAAATAAAGGAAAATATGAAAGCTTAAAAAATACATTGTTAGTCTCTAGTATTCTTCTACATTATTTGCTGCCTCTCCTTACAAGACAAGATAGGAAGTTTTACAGTGTTCCACGAAACATCTGCATGTGACTAATTTTGGTTTTGAAGAATGTATATGATTTTTCTTCCAAACCTTATGCTGTAAGTGAGTGAAAATTTAGAGATCCGTATTCTTTGTAAATTGTTGAAATTGTTGTTTTTTACCTACTGGCAGCAGAGCAACCTTTTCCTCCAATGCAATCTTTTGAAGAAATCAGTGCGCTTCACCATGGCATTAGACTTTATCGTTTGCCATTTCTAGTCTTTGAGTATCCAGCCATAGATCATCTCACTCAACAAAGCTTCCTCTCCACCACAATATAAAGAGTTTATTTGATGCTCAGGCCAATTATAGATTTAATCTTCCATAGTGCTTACTAGATTTTTTTTTGTCTGAGGCACTGTTTAAAAGTGTGTGTGTGTGTGTGTGTGTGTGTGTGTGTGTGTGTGTATACATGCATGTATGTATGCCTAAATTTGCGTTTGAGCATTTTCTTTTCCCTTGCAAAATGTTTGTCTCCAGTGTAATCTTATACAGCCTCTCTCAGAGTTACAAACGAGTTAGGGACCAAACACTTGGCCGTAACTCGAGCTGTTTGTAACTCTGACCCCATTGAGTTACACGCGACCACACTGTTCATAAGCGCGGGTTGCATTCGTAACTCGGGGACCGCCTTTACGACTGCTCCATGGGAGCTTTGGTCATAAGTGCGAACAGTCGTAACTTGACTGTTCGCAACTTGGGGAGCGGCTGTACCATATGGTATAAGTAGTTCTCAGCCTTGTGATGTTCAGACTGAGTGAATATTTGACACTGTATTTTCACTTTCACCAGAACTATTGCCACATTTTGAGCTACAGACAAAGTACATAAAAGTGTTTGCTGGTTTCTCACAATAACGAAGATTATAATATTTACTTTTTTTTCCTCTTCAGCTGTGCAAATATACCTCAGCTATGCATAATATAAGGTTGTGTTTCATAAGACTTATTGGGAGAATGTTCTTATTCAGGATGTCTGTTTATGTCAGCCTTTAGGAGGTTTTGGAAAGTACAGTCCTCATGGACATTTGCAATAACTAAACTCAGGCCTACATTTTCTGGTAATAAAAACTAGGAACTACAAGAGGTTGATGTGTTTAAAGAGGCAGCACTGGAACACACTGACAAATTAAAGGGCAGTGAAACTAGTTGGCAAGCATCCAAATGTGTTAAGGAATGAATTTGCTGAGCAGCCACAATAGGCACCAGAGTACTGGAGGATAGCAAATGTTGCATCTCTTTTTTTTTAAAAAAAAAGTCTGGGGAATTACAGATCATTAAGGCTGTGCTTACAGTACTGGAGGATAGCAAATGTTGCATCTCTTTTTTTTAAAAAAAAGTCTGGGGAATTACAGATCGTTAAGGCTGTGCTTATATTAGAGACCTTATAGCAGCACAACGTACCAAGGTAGCTGTGTAACTGTAATATCTCTTGTGTAACCACTCTATGCTGGAGGGGGGAAGAGTGCTTCCATTGACATAATTAAACTAGTGGAAGTTGGTATGTCAGGAAGAGAGAGAGTGTGTGTTTTTTCACACCGTTGAGTGACATACGTGGTATTGTAAACGTGGTTAAGTCTTAATTGTTTACCTGATAAATTAATGTAAATGATGATTTAATAATAAACGATAAAACATATTTTTTTGTAATATAATAGAACGGTAAAACATTTTTTTGCTAATATAATAGGGTCTAACAGGAACAGTTCTACAAAGGAAAATTGTATCTCACAAATTTATTAAAATTCTTTGAACATGTTCAGTATAATAATGGGCAAAGAAAAACAAGCTGAGCTTTCAAAAAGATTTCTAGAATTGCTTTACAGGACATCATTAAGGAATTTGAGAAATCATGGCGTGAAAGGCCATACAGTCATGGGTCAGAAAACAGATAAATGACAGAAAACAAAGAACAGCTCTAAACGGTCAATTTTCAGCATGGCAAAAGTGCAGTGAATGTGCCTTATGGACCAGGACCATATATATTGTGTTTAATATACTTGCTGCTTACCTGCAAAAGCAGGTGCATTGAGATGGAAAAACTTGCAGATAATATGAATGTCAGAACTGAAACAGTCTTCCACGTAGCTGAAGAGACATATTTGAGATGGCTCAGAAGAAATGGACTAGGGATTAAGAAGTAGGTGAGAACTAGTGGAGGTTCAGAACATGAGATCTGAGAAGAAAAGAGGTAAGTAAGTGAAAAAGGTGAGACAGTGAAAAAGCAAGCAAACTAATAGAGAATTCAGAAGCCAAACCTAGAAGGAAGGAAGAATTTTCAGACCGGAGAAAAAGGATGTGGCTGGGGTGGAATCTGCGGGAACAAGGTAGAATTTGTTTAAGAAAATAAGGCAAATGATTTTTTGCAGTATGAATGTAATGCTTGTGAAAGGCCCACGAGAACACGAAAGGTCACCTCAGTTGTAACCCGAAAGATTTGCATCTAGGCTACTGTGTATGAAAGAGAATATTTGCCACTGTTGCTGACACTGGTTAAGTTCCAAAAAGGGTCAACGACACTGGTAGCCCTAATGTTCATTGCTGCTAGTGTGTTAATGCCATGTTTTATAACCCTACTCAGAGCAGGCCTAATCAGTTAGGAGTTGAAAATGCTGCTGGTGTTGACATTAGGACCTCTAATATCATGAACACCCATGGAGCTGAGCTTGTGTTAGCACTAGTGGGAAATGTATTGAAAATTTTGCTATTGTAGACCCAGATTAGGAATGAGAGCATAGCTCAGTCATCCTATCAGTTCATTTGTGGGGCCTCTCTGCTGGGCATTCTAATAAAGATGCTGCATAGAGCAGCAATTTTTGTGCATGTGTGGAAACCTCTCGGATAGGAACTGAAGATGATCACCTCATTTCACATGAGCCATCATAAAAGTTAATGGATGGTGACAGTATTAAGTTATTTATTGAACTGAATTGGATTCAGATCAGTGACTCTACAGGTGAAAAGCCCTGAATCTCTCAATCCTGTGATCCTTATACCATACTGAACAAGCCAGTTTAAATTCTTTTTTAAAAAAAGCTAAGAAAACTCCTCTTAATATAAATGTAATGGATGTATCACTTGTAAGCTCCCAAATGCAACTAAGTCACTAACTATCCTGTGCGTTAAGTCACAACATAAGAAAATCAAAGACAGACTATAGATTATACACACAACTAAAAATAATTTTCTGCCTCTTTCATTAATTCAATTTTATTAAATATGTTTTGAATTCCACACTTAATATGCAGAATAATTACTTTAATTCTCCTGGAGGAATCTATTTATTATATGTGACCGTGTCAACAACACAATGTAATTGTTGCACTAGAAAGCATGTTTGCATTTATAATGTAACCTATGTCCATAGCTGCCACACAATAAATGTTTTCTTTGACCTGTTAAATATTTTATATATGTAACCCTGAACCCAGAGTCACTTCATATTATTTCCCCAGGGAAGTGGGGGGAGGAGACACTGCCAAAACTTAGTTTTTGTTCTGCACAAATTAAATTGGATAGATAAAATAGTTGGAGCTGAGCTGATCAATATGTCTGGTACTTTAGCCCAATGCCTGTAATCAAACAAAGTGCTCTCAATAGGTTTTCTGAGGCTTGTTAGAGTTTTAATTAAATTAGATATTTAATGCATTCAGTGAACAGTTTGTACCACTTTGCAGAGCAGTAGTTAAGAAATGACATGCAATACGGATTTTTGTTTCTCACCAGTCATTAGTAAATGACACAATTACTTATTGCTATAGGATGGCCATAATATAACTGCTAATTTCACAATGCAGAACTCTACCCTGCTTCTGTGTGATATAGATGTCCTAAAAGAAAATTGTTTAAAGTCTGGAGACAGCTATTGCAGGTAAAAAGTGGTTTTTGCGCACACATACAGCCTCTTTCTAATCCCATTCACACTGGGCAACTCTGTAGCAATACGTGGAGTTGACACGAATAAATCAGATCAGAATCAGGCAAGTGCCATTTACAATTGCTCAGAGGAGCCAGTGGCTTGACATCAGCAGAAAAGCTATTTAGCGAAGTCAAGTTAGTGAAACGGATGGAACACGTACTCTACATGCTTGTTGTTACCTGGCAAGATATTTTAACATACAACATATTAAACATTTCTCTGCTTTACGGGGCATGTCACTATGTAACTGTAACATTTGATACAGGGGAGACTTAAAATTGTTTATTTTTTTGTGAATACTTGTCCACTGTGAACTGAACTGGGTCTGCCAACTCAGCCACCGAGGCCAACGAACCAGGTATCAAATGGTGATTTACTAGCCATATTGCCCAAGACCATATT